GGAGAGAGATGAATAGATCATAAATGGATACATAGATATTCAGATATTTCAATATTCTGGAGGAAAAGATACGCTTATTTTTCATAAATGCTTCCTGGGGCAAATCATTCAATTACCCAAATTATAAAATAACCAGGTCTCTGTTTCATACTATAGAATATTACCAACCTTCAGATCCCATTTGACATCTTTATTTTTTAACAGGAATTTCATCCACCTTTTTTCTTATTGTTACAGGTAATACCCTTCCCCATCTAAAACTCAGTTTTTGTTATGATTTGAAAAATAACTTCAGAGGAAACAAAAAGAGAACCTCTAGTAAATTTTATTCCCCCTTCTTCCCTCTTTTTTTAGAGAGATTTTTGCTATAAGGTGTGTGTGCTCACCAGAGACACAGAGAGACAGAGAGATAGAAAGCACCCCCCAAGGGGATGGCCAAGTCGCAATCCTTTCTCTTCCATTCCCCTCTCAGGATTTTGGGTATGCGCACACATGTACAAGGCATGAGTTTTAAGCTGCCAGGCCCAGGACTCGAACCATGGTCAACTACATGGGAGTCCAGTGACATAATCATTATGCCATCTGCTGGCCCCTCCTCCCTGCTCTTTCTTTAAAGTCAGTAATTCTCTCTTCTATGAGAAGAAGAGAAAGAGAGAAATACAAGCACCCACAACAGGGTCTTCATGCTGTGATCCAGCCCCAGTCCCAGCTGGCTCAAGTCATGGACACACGTACACACCCAGTATGTACAGGGAGATCCCAGACATTAGCCCAGCACCTTCCCATCTGGGTCCAGTAACATGGAGTGTTGCATTACTGCTGGACACCACTTCTGGCCCCAAAAATTCATTCCTCTCTTTGCTACCTGATTTGACAGTATTGCCCCAGTATATTTATTCAACCTCTTTAGTAACAATCACGAAAATAACATTACTTATCAAATTTAGTGGAGTAGTGGTAAAGATAAATTAGATAATTTTGCACAGAACTATTGACTCCTTCAAATAAAAACAGGTGATCATTTTACAACAGTCATTGTCAATGAAGCTTCATAGTATCTCACTGCTGGTACAAGTCTGTGCACCCCTAGTCTTCCCTGCTCCCCAATGCTACACATACTAATTATCATTAAACCAAAGTACCTGCTTTGGCTTTCATTAGCATCAGCAGAAAAAGAATTGCTACCTCTGTGATCTGACCCTGAATGATTTGGGACAGATCTCTTAAGCACTTGCCAATTTCACGGGATCATATTGTGATGAATAAGAACAAAGGGGAGGGACCTGGCAATGGCACAGCAGTAACACAAGTGGACCCACAAGAGAAAGGTCCTAGGTTCACATCCTGGCACCTCCCTGAGCACACCAGTCATGCACATGTGTGCTCGTGATCCAGGCTGGCTGAGACGGCAGAAAATCTCAGCATGAAGACCCTGTTAGGAGCACCTGCCTGCCTCTCTCTCTCTCTCTCTCTCTTTTTCTCTCCCTCTCTTTTTCTTTGTCTTTCTCTCTCATGAAAAAAAAAATTTTTTTAAGAAAAAATAACCAAAAAGAGAAAAGGGAAGTGAGAGCTAAACAAATTTAAAAGGTATTAAGGTCATTTTCAAGCCCTTGATTCTGAGATAAAGAATGACTGACTCTGTGGGGCGAGACTATGGCGCACTGGTAACACAATGCTCTGTGAGACTGACTCAGATTTGAAGCCTCTGCATTTGCATCCACAGGCCTTTCCGAGCATGCAGGGCATGCATGCCCATCATCTAGAGCTGGCTAAAGCTAGAGGTGACTGTGACGTGAGGACCCTTTAGGAGTGCCTGCCTCTTCTCTCTTTTCCTCCAGGAAACAAAAATAAATAAATAAACTTTTAAGATAAATGACTCTAAGGCTGGCAGGTGGCATGGTAGTTAAGGGTACTGGACTCCCACATGGCCAACCAAGATTCGAGTCCTGGACCTGGCAGTTGGCTTTCTCCCTTTCTCTCGCTCTCTTGCTCTCTTGCTCTGTTCCTCTCTGGTCAAATTTAAATAAATAAAGTTAAATAAAAAATAATTCTTAAAAAAGGACAAATGACTCTAAAGTATTCAAGGACATTAAAGAGAGATGTTTTGTGAAAATTATAGCTACATTTACTTTTTAGCTACTTAGCTTTCACCACAGTACAGTCCATCTAGATTCTACCCTGCCCTGAATTTTTCTGTCTAACCTTTAGAATAAGGGTTTTAAGCAAAGATCTAAGCTTGAGTGAAGAAAACTTATCTTGCAGGCAAGAAATATGGCGAGAAAGAGCAGAGTAGTCTCTTGAGTTAGCTAGGAGTTGCTTTTACCTACTATAAGCAGAGACTCAAGATAAGAGTAGCTTAATTGTTCTAGAGTTGATTTTCTATCATCTATGATGTAATCTGAAGAAGATGATCAGAGCCTGTAGAATGATTCCATGCTGTCATTAGGAACCAGGTTCCTTACATCTTTCTGCTCCCATCATTAGCTGTGGAAATTTTGTCCTCTTGAAGTCACCTCATGGTCACAAGATGGCTGCTGGAGCTCTAATCAACCCACCACTTTGCAGAAAGAAAAAGAGAGACACAGAAGTATAAAAGATCCTTTTTGCCAGCTGGCTCCTATAAAAAAGCCTTCCCAGAATCCTTGGCCACACTTCCAGCAAGGGAGACTGAAAAACAGGCTTTCAACTAGGCACATTTTCACCTTCCTGTTACAGTAAAGGAAAGGAAGAAGGCAGATTGAGTAATCAAGTAACTGCCTCTCACAAGGTTACTTCCTCCAAAGGGCATTTATAAAATGCCCCGGTAATCTGTGATGGGGCTCTCTACCTTTCTCAACAAGCACCCTGCTTTTCTGCCTGCCTTCTATTTTTTCTCCTCTCAAGTCCCTCAGAGGCAACCCTCTAGCAAGGTTCCATTTCTCAAGCTTGTCTTTAGATTTAGTCAAGCTCTAGCCCTCCTACCTAAATAATGCCATCATCCCTGAACTCTCTAACTCTTCCTACTCCCATCTGGGACAAATGTATGGAATTGGAGACAGGGAAACTGAAGCAAGGAAAGGGAGAAGGACCATCTTTGTTCTTGCCCCCCCCACCCCACTTCTATCATTGTTATTTTAATCTGGTAGCAATTTCCTTTTCTTAGACTTTCCTCAGTGCATAGCACATCCTATTGTCATTTCATATTTACAGGAAAAGACCACATCCCATCAGTGAGGAAGAAGGGCAAAACCCTTCTAATCACTCCCCTTCTCTACCTCATCATGAGATCAGGATATAATGAAGCAGGCGCAATTGTGCCTAGCAACCAGAGCTGCCTCTTACCGTCTTGGCTTGATGAAAGAAGGTACATGGTTGTTAAGAATCCAAATGAGCTCTTCACTCTAATTATTGTTTCCTTTGCTGTGCAGAAGCTTTTTAACCTGACATAATCCCACTTGTCTATTTTCAGGATTATTGCCTATGCTTTGGGGTTCTTATTTAAGTCTTTGCCTACTTGATGTCTCTAAGAATTTCCCCTGTGCTTTCCATCCATAGTTTTATAGTTTTAAACTTTTTTTAAATCCGTTTTGAATTAATTTTTGTTAATGGTGAGAGAGAGGAGTTCAGTTTCACTTTCCTGCTCCTGGATATCTACTTTTTCCAGCACCATTTGCTGAAGAGATTTTTTTCCCCATTCTATTGTCTTGTGCCCTTCATTAAAAATTAGTTGACTGTATATTTTGGGGTTTACTTCTGGGTTCTCTATTCTGTTTCATTGGTCTACATGCCTATTTTTATACCATATCCTACCATGCTGCTTTGATTATCATAGCTCTATAATACATTTTTGGTCAGGAGTGAGATGCCTCCTACTTTATTCTTTTTGCACAGTATTGTTTTGGCAATACAGGGTCTTTTATGATTCCAGACAAATTTTATGATTTTTTTTTCTTGTTCTGTGAAGACTATCTCTGGTAATTTTATTGGGTTGCCTTAAGTTTGTAGATTAATTTGGTTAGTATTGACATTTTGATTATATTAATTCTTCCAATCCAGGAGCATGGGATGTCCTTCCACTTTTTTGTATCATTTTCAACTTCTTTTTTTGAGTTTTTCATAGTTTTCCTTTTAGAGGACTTTGATTTTTTGGTTAGGTTTATTCCTAACTATCTCATACTTTTTGTGATATGCCATGTGTTCATGACCAGAAGGTCCATTTTGTATGCTATAAGGATGTACAGTAAGTAAATGTAAAAAAAACTAAGAAATTAAAAAATTAAATGTTATGATTTAGAGAAAGAATTCAAATGAGCAAATGTGCTGCAGTTCTCTTCCACCCAGCCTAGAGCCTGGGGGATGGTTCCAAGGTGGGCAGAACTCAGTGAACTGCCTGTGAGGCTGACCTAGAAGACATGGCTGTGGAGAGACCAGCAACTCCATGGCTGAGAGAGGTCCCATTTCATCCTCTCTGCAGAGTCACAGGATTCCATAATACTGAAGCTAGATTATAATGAACAGACAACTGCTTCAGTTCCCTGCAGATGTGTCCTCATGTCGCAGAGAGGCCAGACTCAGGGATGTTATGAAGCAACACATACACACACACATGCATTACACACATATACAGACATTAATAAGCACAAACATGTATGCACATATGATTTGCACATACACATACATGCATTGTCCCAATAGATCCTGCTGATCCACCCTGCTCTGGTCCTGCTGATATCCTGGCCCTGGATCCAGTGCTGGGCAAGAAGCAGAGTGGAGGCCTCTGCCTCAGAGTGTCCAGCAGCATCTGGACCATCACCCTCCCCAGCCCATGCCTCTCTCCCATCTAGCTCTCAAGGTGAGGTCCCAGGTGTCTGGCAGCTTTCTCCTGAGGCTGACACTCATCCTTGAACTCTCAGTGCATTTATCCTGGCTCCAGGGGTCTGCAGACGTCCTGTGTGCCCCTCCACCCATTCACCTGCTCACCTACAGAGCCTGCTCTCTTCTTCCTATTCAGTTCTTCGGAATCTCTAGCCTGTTATGACACCAAACTTCAGAACCTGGCCTAGATTCCTAGGACTCACCAACCTGGCCACCCTCCACACCATCTCACCTCACTGGCATCCAAAACCCAGCTTTTTCCCCATCTGGTTCCCCCAACATCCCCAGTGGACACCTGCTCCTCAGCTTCCATACCAGGATAGACTAGTAGAACTCCATCCTAGTCCAAGTGTGGGAGTGGCCAATTCTCTACTGAAACACTGATTTTCAGGAGTATTTACTCTTAGGGAGTTCTCATATTCAGAATAATCTTGGCTATTTATTCCCAAACCAGTTCCTCACTTCTAACCAACTCTGGGCCAGTTAAAGTGTGTTTGCCAAGAAATGTGAACTAATTCTAAGCTCTAAAATCAGTCTCCTGAAGTTAAAAGAGATAACGGGAGAGACAAGGAACTCCTGTTAAATACATGTACATGGTACAGTGACCAAAATATTTTTTCTTCCTTCTTACCAGTGGGCGTGTGTGCTCACCAGACAGACAGACAAAATGTACTCCCCCAGTGGGCCACAGCCGTGTCTCAGTCCCCCTTTCTCCTCAGTCCCCTTTCCTCCATCCTGTCAAAATTTGAGCACAGGGGAACCAGCAGTTAGCATAATGGCTATGTCGCTGGACTCCCACGTAGTTGACTGCAGTTCGCATCCTGGACCTGGTGGCTTAAAACTCACACCGGGCGCGTGTGCGTGCGTGCCCAAGATCCCAAGAGGAGAATGGAGGAGAAGGGATTGCGGTGTGACCATCCCCCCTGGGGGTGATTTCTCACTTTCTGTCTCTCTCTGTCTGTCTGGTAAGCGCACATGCCCTATAGCGAAAACCTCTCAAAAAAAAAAAAAATTTGAGCACACACGCTCATGTACGTAGTGTATTTTAGAAGCCAGGATTTGAACTGTAGTCAGCCATGTGGGATCCACCTTTCCCTGCACAACACTTAACCACTGCACTATGGGGCCAGCCCAGTAACCAATGTTTTATGGCCATCATAAAAGAAAACTTGTATTGCATCTCACTTAAGGATGAGTTTGCTTTTCGGATGTCGGTTCACTCCTTTGTCTACTGTCATCAAAGCCTCAGACTAACTGAAGAACTAAAAGGGATTACTGCACAAAGACACATTGGGATATGAAAAGCGTCTGTATCAGCCATCATGTAAGTCTTTTTTCTCTTTCTTATTTTAGGCCTCCCCAAGCAGAGCGAGTTGAATAGGGCACAGTCTAAATATTGATTTCTCAGGAAAAGTTCATCCTCCTCACCACACTCCTCCTGCCCCACCGTAATATAAATCTGATGCCCTGAGAGACTATGTCTCCTATAGGCATCTCATTCACTCCCATCTCTCACCTCACTCTCACTCACAAAATTCAGCACATGGTTGAAAGAATGGAGAGCCAGGCTATATAATGGTTGAGTGTTATTGTTCTTTCTGTTGTTTTAGAGCAGGGCTAAAGTTTATCATGTGACAACAAGGTACTATTGTCTTCATGAAATGAGGGTTGAGGCTCTCCAGTGGTATTTGTGGACTTTTTATATGCCATGCCATCAACCTCAAACCCATCATCTTACACTCAACCAGTGAGACCAAAGCGCCTTACTTAGGCTTCCCTGCAGCACTGTCATTTTATCTCATACTGCACCTCATTGTTCACACGCCTGTTTCTATCACCACAGTTAGAACTAGTTAGGGGTAGGAACCACATGTGACTTATTTATTTATTGTTTATCTTGTCTATTGTTAACCAGAGCTATAGAGTTAGCAGGCATGCTTTTTAAAGTTGACTGAAGTGATTTGGTGGCATAGTTTGAATACATATCTCAGAATTTCACAGTTTATGAGCATATTCTATTTCTAAAAACAGTTTCAAGTCAACTTGGTTTCCCCAAATGTTAGATAATTGTCAAACATTTTAAATTGCTATCCAGCCATATTGCAATTAGAGCAAACATATGATACATTGGTTTTGCCAAAAAATGAGTGGTTTAAATGATCACATTTCTCTCTACATTTGTGAATGTTTTATCAGCATTCAGACTGTGTACATAAGATATTTAAATGTCTATGTGTATATATATGAATGTTAATAAGATCTACCATTTGTTGAGTTCTTACATCTTATAAGTCCATAGTGTTGAGCTCTTACTTTATGCTTAAGGCTTTACATATGATTTAATCTTCATGTGGTTCTGTAATATAAGTGTTTTTATCCCAGGCTTATGGAAAGAAAGCTTGATTTTCAGGAAGATTGAATAACCCCACTTGGGGATATACAGCAAATAAATGGTAGCACCAGGGTTCAGCTCAGGACTATCTGTGCAAAGCTTTTGCTTTTGCATATTTTCCATGAAAAGTAAGAGTAAGCTTTATCAACACTGAAATCCTTGCTAAGCCCATTTTCTTTTATAATGCATCCTCAGTGAGAAAAAAAATACATATCATTTAATCAATCTTATTTCTAAAGCTGGAGAGGCCTTTCCAAGGACTGAAGTTGAAGTTTAGGAAAAATATCAGTTGGTGCATGTTTTGTGAGGTTTTTTTCCTCCTCTGAAAAGTGGATCGAACAGAGACACAGGGAGCTGGAAAAAGATGTGAGGCACTGATGTCATGTTGTTTATTGGCAGAGTTTAGTGAGAGCTCACAGAGCTCTTGGTAGGCTCACAAAGCCCATTGCAGCACTTTCAAGCACTTCCTTCCTCTTAGAGCTATTAACGCTCATGGAGAATGTTCACAGAGTGCTTTCCTCCCTTTTGGAGCTTACAGTGAATGGAACTGAACTAAGCCAAGCCAAGGCTGAACTAAGCCAAAACCATCAGGGCTCCCTAATCTCAACCAAGGCTAAGCAGAGCAGAGCTAGCTATCAGGGCAGTGCAGCACATGGCTCACTGACCAAGCACTCCTTTTCTTTTAAAGGGAGTGCAGATGATAGTGGCTCATTGTCCAAATCAAACTGTTTTATTAGATACTACTGCCAGACTGATTATTCCCTGGTTGCTCAGATAGCATCTACAGCTAGACTGGCCAATATGGTAGCCACTGGCCACATATAGGAGAGGTTTTTGCTATAGGGCATGTGTGCTTGCCAGAAAGACAAAGAGAGACAGAGAGACAGAAAGTAAGAAATCACACCCCAAAGGGGGGACGGCCATGCCACAATCCCTTCTCCTCCATTCTCCTCTTGGGATCTTGGGCATGCAAGCACACGCACCCAGTGTGAGTTTAGGCCACCAAGTCCAGGACTTGAACTACAGTCGACTACATGGGAGTCCAGCGACATAGCCATTACACCAACTGCTGATCCCAAAACTAAACAATATTTTTAAATTCTGTTCCTTAGTTGCACTAGCCACATTTCAAGTGCTCAGTAGTCGTATGTGCTTGCTAACTACCATTTTGAGCAATGCAACTATAGATGAATGACCAGTCAATGGCACGGTGACTAAGGTGACTGGATCCCACATGGCAAATTGTGTGATTCAAGTCCCAGGTCCAGTGGCTTGTAAAACACACTGGGCATTTGATAGAAACTTCTCCTTCTGTGCAGATGGGAGAGCAATAATAGAAAGAAGACTTTTCTTGGGTCATAACACATGCAGTTTTCTTGACCCCAAACTCTGCTTCCAAGCTCAGATTGAGTCAGCAGCAGAGCAGAGGCCTTGCTGTGCTAGGTAAAATTTGCCAGCATCCCCTTTAACTGCAAGCCCAGAGTGGTGTGGACCAGTTGTGCTTTGTCATATTCATTAACCAGGCTCTAAGGATAAAACAGAGGCTTGACCTGCCCACATCAAGTTTAGAAAAGGGAGACTCTGCCTTCCAGTTAGGTGTAGTGTTCATGAGGCATCCCATTCTCAGGTGGTCTGGCTCCTTGAAGGGGAATTTCAAGCACAAGATCACAGTTTAGATCTGTGGGCTCTTGGCCCCTGCCAAAATAATCTTGGCCACAATTAAAACAAAAATGAAACGAGCCAGACAAAACATGCAAAGGCTAAACTTCCCATGCCTTAAACCTAATAGCTCATTTTAAGATGAAGGAATCATACAAGGTCAAGGGAATTACGCATTGAGCTGAGGTGGCTCCACACCACTTTCTGCCTCATGGAGGGGACCTAATCTAAGTAGAAGTGCATAGTGAATTCCTTGGCCTCCCTCACCACACTGGTTCTGTGTGAGGCTAGCATGAGTTAAGCTGGTATAGCATGAGATATCTGAGTTTGTGACTTATAATCTTGAATAAATAACTCATTTTTTCCTGGCTCTCAGGATACTTATTGGTAAAGGAATTGTAATTTAACTTAAGTAGTCATTGTAAAGACTGCAAATGCAAACAAGTTTTTAGAAACTGAGTTTTCTCAACGTTAGTACCATTGTGCTACATATTTAGGCCACATAGTTCATTGTTGTCAAGGGTTGTCCTTGAATTGTAGGACATTTGGAAGCATGCTTGACCTCTACCCACTAGATGCCAGGAACATTCTACTTGGCTTGGTCAACTAGGCATTGCTGAATGTCTTCCTGGGAAGGTGAATTACCCATAGTTGAAAGCTGCTGTTATAAGAGGTGGATCTTCAAAAAGTTTGCAAAAATACATATTATGAAAAATTATGCAGGGTTTTGATTTTTTGCACAAAAATAAACCACTTTCCATAAACTTTTGAAATCTTCTTATATAAAGACATCTGTAAAATCATAAAGCATAGCCCAAATGTTCATTATTATTAACATACAATAATTTCATTTTTATTTATTTATTTTTTTGGAGAGAAAGATTTTTGCTATAGGGCACATGTACTCACCAGAGAGATAGAGAGAGAGAGACAGACAGACAGACAGAAAGCAACGTAAAACATCACCCCCCAAGAGGGGATAGTCATGCTGCAATCCCTCTTCTTCCATTCTCCTCTCAGGATTTTGGGCACACGTGCACACACACCTAGCCTGAATTTTAAGCCACTAGGTCCAGGAGTCAAAGTGTGGTCAACTGCGTAGGAGTCCAGCAATGTAGCCACTTTGCCATCTGCTGGTCCCAACAAGCAATGATTTCAAAACGTTAGAAGTACTTCTAAATATTGATTTTTTTATATTAATATTTTCAAGAGCTTACAGAGACTATTAAAGCCAATGGGACACTTGTGGGAATGTGTAGTGATGGCTTTGTGGCAGCTTGTTTGTGTTTTTAACATGTGAGTACACATCAGTGTTGGCAGAGATGGAATTTGGGGGGCCCCCAAGCACATGAGCAGCAGGGGAGAGCCACTGAACAAATGTACCCATTTCTCTATTATGTTTGGTCATGTAGGCCACCAGGCTGTGTCCCCTTCAAGTACTGGAATCATTTCTTTATAAAGAAATCTTTATATTTCTTAACATCTGTCTTGGTCAAACCAGCTGCTATAACAAAAATATCCTAAACTGGGTAGTTCAAGTAAAGAACATCAATTTCTCACAGCTCTGAAGACTGGGAAGCCCCAGATTAATGCGCTGGCCAGCTTGGTGTCTGTGAGGACCCTCTTCCTTGTTTGCAGGATCTTCTTGCTGTCCTCATATGGTGGAAAGGAGAGATCATGTTTTTTGTGTCTCTTCTTATAAGGACACTATTCTCATCATGAGGGCTCCACCCTCATGACTTAATACCTACTAAAGGCCCCACCTCCTGACATCTTCACACTGGGGGTTAGATTTTAACACATGAATTGGTGGGAATGACACATTCATTCCATAACAGCATCACAACCCCAGCACCTGACACTACCTGGCAAAGGAAGTGAAAGAGGGACTTAATCAGTAAATGTACAGAGAACAGTGGTTCTCTACCTTGCTGGCTCATTAGAATTACCTGTTTAAGAATTACAAGCTTAAAAAAGATACACTAAGGGGCCACATCTTTGTGACTTACTGGTCAAGGGAGCCAGATTCCATCCACATAGCTGATTGCATGGTTGGAATCCTGGTCCTGACAGACTGAAAACACACAGGGCATGAGTGCATGCCCAAAATACCAGTAATATGGAGAAGGAATTGCGGTGTAACTATGCCCCATTTGGGAGTGCTGTCTTCCTTTCCCTCTCTCTCTCTCTCCAAGTATATATGAACTCTGGCAAATTAAACACACACACACACACACACACACACACACACACACACACACAGAGGGGGCTGCACAGTGGCATAGTAATAACACGATGTTCTGCAAAGCTGACCTATATGGGAAGGTTCTGGATTCATATCTGGAGACCTTCTTAAAAACACCAGGTTTACATGTGCTCATGACTCAAGGATGGCAAAAGCTGGGATAGATCATGGCATTCAGACCCTGTTGAGGACACTGTCTCTCTCTCTCTCATTCTTTCTCTCTATCCTTTTTGCTCATGGAAAAATAAGTCAATAAATAAACTTAATAAAATGAAATATACTGATGCATGAGCCCTACCCTCAGAGACTCTGGTCTCAGGCACAGTTTGGACATTTTAAGCCCCTCCAATGACTCTAAAATGTGGTTGAAGTTGAGAACCACTGGCATAGGAAGAATGCAGTAAAGTCTCTTACTCTTTGGTGCACAGATGGTCCTGTCCCACAGAGGGACCCACCTGAGCATCAGCATACCACTCATCCAGTGCTTGAACGTCCATGGCACCCTCCAGCCAGCACTACCTCCTCAGTGCTCATTGTGCACCATCTCCAGCTCACACGCTCCTGTGTCTGTTTTAAATTCTCCTGAATATATTTCTGTGTCATTGGCCTCCTCTCAAGAGTCAACGGACAGTCATCCTCAAATCAGCTCTGGGTTTGAGATCTTGCCGAAGTTCTGGAAACTTTGTATAAAGTTCAGGTGATGACACAAGAAAGAGAAGACTGAGCTGCTAAAAGGAGGGTTGAGGAAGGAGCCTCAATTCAGAGATTTGGAAGAAAGTGGCATTATCCAACCAACTCACAAGGGTTTTAACAGTTGTTAACGGTTGCATGTGTAACTCTTCTCAAGAACAGAACTTTGGGGAAATTTTCGTCATATCAACCAAAGGAGATTTGGGACTTCAAGAACTTCTCAGATCCTGGAAAGCTCCCAGGAGTCGACTTTCTCCTCTATCTGGTGTGCGGCTGTCCCTAACTCTCTAGGAAGTGAGAAAAGGGACATAAAATTGCAAAAGCATAAGAAAAAAAGAGGGTTCCAACTCTTTGTTGTTAATTCTGTTGTGATTCTATGTGCACGGACATGAGGAGTCAGCACAGAGGCAAACTGTCCATCTAAGACCGATCACGCAATCCTGCCCTGCAGTCTGCTGTCATTTCACGGGTGTGAACACAGTCTGACATCAGGATAATAGGTGCTGGTGCCGGGTCTTTCTTTATTTTTTCTTTCCTTTCTTCCTTTCTTTTTATTGCAGTATAGCATGTATGCTCATCAGAGAGAAACAGAGAGGATAAAGGAAAAAGCTGCAATCCCTTCCCCATTTCTCCATCCTGCCAGGATTTGGGAATGCATGCACATGTACCCAGTGTATTTTCTGGAACTCAAACCATGTGGTTGGCAATGTGCACTCCAGCTCCTTTAACCACTAGCCACGGAGCTGACTTTGTACATGTTACTTTTCCTGTTGATTTTTCATAGCACTAGGGATCCCAGATAAGGACAACTATCCACTATAAGGCCCTTAAAGAAAAAGTTTAAATTAAATGAGGTTTCCCTAGTTTTTTCCATGCTACTCAAAAGAGGAGTAATTACTATTTATGCTTTTAGGTGTGTAAAAGTGCTCAACATATACAAATTACAAACTGAATTTTTCAAACTTCAGATTACTTAATAATTGATGAACAATAACCTCAATAGATGCCTTCACCTATACTTTTTATATACTTAGACACAAGGCAAGTTTTGCTGGAGCATATGTGAATTAATGCATGCTGACCAAAGAGAAATGGATGTAAAATGTGGAGGGGGGGATGTTATCAAAGTATGCCACAGTTATCTTTCAATTGCTTTGGAGAGTATTTTTATGAGTTTTTTTCATTTCCTATTTTCCATGCCTATGTTGTTGGTTTTAGCCAAGTCAATGGCAAAGGACAGGCATGTGTGAACGGGTCTGCAAAAATATTTCCCAGCACTAAGGTTTTTGTTGAACCCACTGGCAAGACAGAGAAGAGGCACCACATTCTTGTGAAAAGCTTCTTTCACAGAGAGTGCATTCAAGGAGAAAATCAAGCTTGAATTGCTATTTCTAAGGGAGAGCTTGAAAGACAGATGGAAGGAGTAGGTTCCATGGGAAAGGAAAAGGAAGAAAGAAAGGGAATGGAATGGCTTGCCAAAGTAAAGCTGGCTGTGGCTGAGAGTTCTTTCAGAACTGCCAGGAACCTTGGGAGTCATACACTTTTCTCTCCCGGGAGGAGACCCAGGGCAAAATGACAGTTCGCTAACTGGAAATGCCTTTCTCCTGGGCCAAAGCTCCACTCAGAAAGCATTAAAAAAAAAAGTGAGCTAAATCCCTTCTCTCCTTTAGTAAAGCAGTTCTGGAATCAGGAAGAGACACATAGAAACCAGAAGTAGAGGCGTTCCTAACGTCAACTCCATGAGCCGCTGTAAGGTTCATGAATGAGCTTTGGGAATGCTCCCAAATTAACGCCAAAGCTGAGGTCAGACCAAGTTCAGAGGAAAGTTTCTATGCTGGATTGATCATATTTAGAAGATTTTTTTCATTTCAGAAAGCTTGTTCTATGCACATAGCCTATTCTTCACTAATGTAGAGATTAGTGCAGTAAGTCCTATTTTGAGATATTTCATCCTCCCCGATGTTCAGAAGTGCCTGGTATATGTTAAAAGTAGATGTAGTATAGTAACACATTTCTTAAATATCTTTTTGTTAAAATCCATATGAAACATTGTCTTTAGAAAATGGAATGGCCAAAACTCCCTCTCTGGGCAGGGCACATTGCATTTGTGCTCTGGTTTGAGGAAGCTCTAGGAGGAAGTGCAGAGGGCTCTAGCCAATGCATGTATAAGGAGGTGACATTAAACTGCGTCTCACAGGTCTGCATTTGTCTTGCTTTACTTGCGTGTAATGTATTTAAGTGACCAAAATAAGGCTTGATTTTACAGCATCTAATCTTTCTACATGTTAAAGAGGTTGCAAGTGTTTGACAAAAGTACAGCTGGTATGCTATTTTTTTTTTTTACATTTTGTGTTAAAATTTATAAGAAAGACTGTTCTGCAAATACTTGTAGAAAACTTAAGACTACCTCTAAGCAGTATATCAGCTTATAGTTGACAACAGAGTTGATAGTAGTGAGAAATGGACAAGATTTAAATCAGAATGTTTCCATTTAGAAGACACTTTCGGGATCTAGGGTTTGTGCTATATGCAGTGCATGCAAATGTTTCTGTGTGTATAATAGATGAAGTTAGACCTCTATCTGACACTCTAGTTTTTCTGTACAAGTGCACAAGCTATGTTAAAAGTAGAGAATGTTAAATAGCACATTCTCTTTTTTTTTTTTCTGTTACCTCACATGCATGATTATCTTTTTAAAAAGACATTGTTAAATTTGATCTTTAGTTAGACTTAGAAGTCACTGACTTTGGGCATTTTCTCCTAAAGTCTATAAAATGAGGGAGACCTGCAGATATTGAATCTGATCTCTTTTAATCTCAGATAAACCACTTACAAAAGAAAAAATTCAGATAGATTATAAGTATTCCATATTATTCCATGGAATAATTCTGGAAACTGCATTAGCTCTTTCAGGTTACTGCAATTAACAACTGTCTTTGGACACTAAAGATCCAAATTGCCTGCACTTATTACTGGAACTTCTGAGCATATCTGACTTGACTGAATAATTCATTAAGTCAGCAAATGTTTGTTGTTGCTGCAGTGCAGATATAAAGTCTTCCCTAGTACTGCCCTCAAGAAATTTATAGATAATTAGGAGAGACTACCAAACCCACAGTTATAATACCATAAGAAAAGTGCTGTGATAAAGAAGGTTCCGAAATGTAAAAGTTCCTAAATCAGCCTACAATGAGCACAGGGAAATTGATATTTGTGCCAAGTCCTAATGATTATGAGCTATGAAGATTAATTTTGTGCCAACTTGATGGGGTTAAGGGTGCCCAGATAGTTGGTAAAATATTACCTCTGAATGTGTCTCTTCCATTTCTGAAAGAGATTAAGCATACGAGTCAGTATACAGTATAGATAAAGATTACCCTCACCAGTGTGGTCAGGTATCATCCAATCCAGTGAATGCCTGAACAGAACATAAGTCAGAGGAAGAGAGATCTTTTCTTTAGCTGAGACACTCATTTTCTCCTGACCATGGACATCAGAGTACCTTCCTGAGTTTTCAGCCTTGGACTAGGATTAACAACAATGGTTCCCCAGTTCTCAGGTCTTTAGGATTAGGCTGAATTCCACCACTAACTTCCCTACTTCTCCAGTTTGCTGACAATTTTCTTTTTCAAAAAAAAAAAGAAGAAAACACACACACACACACACACACACACACACACAAATTGACTCTACTTCTCTGGAGAACCCTGACTAAATTATCAGCTAAATAAAGAAAGGACAAGAAAGCCATGTTACTATCCTGTGAAAGGAGTCAAAGGCCTATGAGGTCATGGAGTATAGGCTACAAAATGTGTTTTTATTTACTCATTTATTTTACTTCAAAATGTTTATGGAAATGCATGTTACAAAAAAATCTATGCAGGGAACCAGCAGTTAGCGTAATGGCTATGTCACTGGACTCCCACGTAGTCGACTGTGGTTCGTGTCCCGGACCCGGTGGCTTAAAACTCACGCCGGGCGCGTGTGCGTGCATGCCCAAGATCCCGAGAGGAGAATGGAGGAGAAGGGACTGCGGCGTGACCATCCCCCCTGGGGGGTGATTTCTCGCTTTCTGTCTCTATGTCTCTCTCTGTCTGTCTTCTTGAAGTGCCTTTGTAAAGACTTGTTGAGTACCTACTGAGTGCCAGATTATCTTAGATCCTAGGTAGGCAAAAGTAAATATGACTAACAAGGGTCTGTCCCCATAAGATCTATATTCTAATGGTAAGAACCAACAATAAGTATATAAAATAATTACAATTATAATAAGCTTCAATAAAAGGAGAGAAAAAATTATGGTCAA